ATACGTATATTTTCTTTTGCTTGAATTTGGCTCTGCGTGTGATTGTGTGTATATGTTCGTGCATATATGCTGGTATATGTTTCTTTGTGTAAATAACTAAGTGATATTTGGCTTTGTTTGCGGTTAGTTTGGTTTTTCTATTATACTTTAATCTCATATATAGATCAAAAACTGATGACAAACTGTTTATTTGAGCATATTTGCCTACACATAACACACGCACTTGCAAATTCCCAAAGCTCTATTTAATTCTGTACAAACGTAACTCACTAACATGAAAAAAGGTAAAACGGACAGCTTGTTTAGTTATGAACATGAAAAAAAAAAAAAAACAAAAAACAAAAAGGAAAAGATGAAACATGTCTAAAGATGAATAATCGTAGATAACTGTTGGTACTTTTCTTTGTTATTTTTAATTGTCTGCGTATTTATGCATGACAAAAGTGAGTTATGTAAGAATAATTGCAACAAATTCTTTAGCTTCTTAAAGAAAATTTTTTTGTTAGTAAGAAGAGCAAGCACCTGATTAGAAAAACGAGCAAAACGAGTTTCTGCAGATCTCATTAAGCGTTTAAAGGATCCAAGCTTATGTACGCATTGAATGATATTTTGAAACTTAACTAAAAACATGACAAGAATAGATTATAATTAGCCTTACGTCGTAATACTAAAAGTAATCCGATCCAAATCATTTTCAATAGTCTTCATTTTACCGCATCAAAATTCATCATAGTATCTCAAAAACTTGCAGCGTATAAGTTGAACACAAAAAATAAGACGAACAGACGGGCAGACAAGCTTAGAATCCCTTACTGAATCGATCGTTACAATAAAAGTTGGGTCTATCTCAAGCCCTTTTGGATGTTACATATATCCGCATAATCATAATATATTTTTGTGCAACGACCGCTTTAGGGTATAGAAAGAAAACCCCCTTCGATTTATCATAAAAAACTTTTCCAATTGTGTATTCACTTCCCCAACATTGTTAAATTTTCTACCTCCTCATGTATACTCTAGCAAACTGAAAAAATGGCAGCCCATCGTCGTAAGACCTGAGTGGGTCAGGTAAAAGCTCCAATCCAAGCTCTCTTATTTTTTCCTGTGTTACTTTTGTAGCGCAAAATCTCGCGTTAACATGCTGAAGGGTTCTCTTGTTGCTATTGACCGCAACAAATGGTTATTTTATGAGCCCGTGTTTCCTTCGCTTGACTTTTTCACAATGCACAGTCGCCGTAACGGTCCGACCAGTTTCAAGCAATTCCTGAAAAATCCCATCGCACACAAACAAGAATGTTATTCATTGTTAATGGTGATCAGGGTGTCGATGCAGATACTATTCTGCAAGAAAGCGATTGTGGCTTATTGTGTAGTACCCATTTCACAACCCCAGTTACAGTTCGGTGCAAGGAAGCATCGCCTTCATACCGAGACAAAAGAGATGCGCAGTTGCGGTATGCCTTTGATCAAGTATCACCTCCGTCAATTCATGACGAATCCAAATTCTTTGCTTGTGCAATTTTCCTATATTTGACGACAATTTGATCTTAACATCGCCTTTGCATAATAGCAACAACAATTGCGTTTTTTTCCATACAAAGGGATGATTTCGTTACCGTCATCCTGGCTTTCAGGCTTGCCTTTATATGTTGAACACTTGTGGCACGAGGGCAAATTAAGTTCGTGCTTATGTATGTAACACCGACCCACTATTCACTACTTGGACCGATTCAGAAGCATTTTCCGAATCCATTTAGATTTGTCTGTCCGTCTATACATCTGTCTGCCTTGATTTCTTATATTCAGGTCGCAATCTTCACGATATTTTGATGAAATTATTATACCCTACACTATTTGCTGCTACAAGATGCATTAAGTTTATGACACTCAGAAGGGCTTGTGAGATAGCCCCATCTTTTATTATATTTATGTGAGCTTGTCTGTCCGTCTGTGCTTCTAATGCCCATCTCTGTACTCTTATACTCAAATTTGGTACATTAACGTGTTTTGCCATACGGGAGAAAATTACTGAAAACGGTTCGCATCAAATCACTTTTTCGATTCTTTCTCAAATAAAGATTTATTTTGAAAAGAATGACTTTCTAGTACTGGTATTCTACAAGGTATTTAATGCTGGGCAATGGCCCGCTATAGCGTTTTTACTTGCTTTATATATTTTAATGTAAAAGTTGACTTGTATTCTGTATCGAGGGTATCACAAAAAGGTAAGCAACTTGGAAAAAACCGTAACCTCATATACCCGAAGGCTCTAATAGCGCAATTAAATTAAGAGAAATTTCGTGATACTATTCAATATGGAATCAATTGGTTTTCAACTTTTTCTATTGTATTCAAAGCGATTCGCATTTTATGTAAAGTTGAGCAATTCAACATTATATTGCTTTATTTTAAATTTCATTCACTGACCACTTTTTATCACCTTTCATTTTATTAAATTCTACAAACGTACTATCATTTTCATTTGAAAATAATTCATCGTTTTGCGGACAGTACTATGATATCCTTATATCTATTATTAAAATTCTTTGTATACCCAGACTACCATTTATTGTTATAAAACGGAACTAAAGTGTCGCTTCACGTCACTTATTTACCACAAATGTTGAGTTTTGTTTCGTACGTTTCGTACGTCAACTTCAAGCGATATTGAGTTGAAAAACTCTTCATTTGCATCATAACTGCAAACTTATGTAGGGCCATTCATTTTGTTGCTGATAGTCAAATGTCTAACTTCACATATATATATTTTGTCAAAAATCAACATCCTCTATGTTGTATCTTATCGGGTGGTACAACAAGCACTACAGCAATGCTACAATTAAATGAATAAAACTTAAAGTATTCATATTTTCAGGCAATTCCGGATGTAAAGTAAGCTTTTCAAAATACCATACCATACATTTTCAAAGGCATTGTTTTCTTACCTGCTACTGCATGCATGCCGCCATAAACTTTACCTCTCTGCTCTCTTATACGTACATACATGTTAATAATAAAACAAAAAAACAAAAAAAAATATTCTTTAAATATTTAAAATTCTTCAAGTCTTGTTACAACATAGCGGAAGTCAGTACGGACATCAATTTATTACATAAATCTGGTTTCTTTTTTTATTTTGTCTTCAACTTTTAAAAAATATAAACCAATTCACACATTCGTTTACTTTATTATTTGCACATGAAGCGTCAACCGGTCCATGCAACGTATACGTGATTGAGTTAAAAACTGATAAATTCGTAAAAGTTGAACGGAAATTAATGAGCGGAAGCTGCAATAACGCAGCGGGACATTGGATGCGGTAGTCTTCTGTTTCTGTTTTTGTTTCACGTTTTAAGGTATTATGTCCTTTTTCACGTATTCCCTTACATATCAATCAATAAATTTAAAATTATGGGTAAAGAGCTGCCAATCATTATCGCTTGCCTACACCGAAGCAGTTTTTACACACTCATAATGTGTAAAGAATTTTCTTGTAAGATGCATCGACATACAAGCGCATACCGGCAATGCCGAAAAACTTGAAAAAGAATATATTTTGAAATTTTCAGACATTTATTTAATCAATCGAAGTTACATCGGAGCTCTGCAATCGTCAAATATGGAATTCGAAATCGTTTTGAGTTAGAGCTAAAAGAATCTTTAAGCAATTTTTGAGGTTATATCCAATCTCTAGCCATGATTTGCGTAGAACGGAGACCACTTTAAAGTTAAAGTTTCTTATGCAAGACTTCTAACTTTTGGGACTGTACCTGATCTCTGATTTCAAGGAATAGAATTTTTCTTTGCAAATAAAATTTCGAAGTTTTGAGATTAAGGCTGATATCCGATTTGATTTGAGATAAAACGAAAAGAATTTTAAGCGTCAAAAGCTTGGCAAACAAAATTGATGTTATGTTATCAGGTTATGTACAATGTCAGCAATTAGCACAAGGCCGCTGGAGTCAATTGAAGCCTTGATTTTGGTAAAATAAAAAGCATTTTAAATATCAAAAATTTTCAAAAGCAAGATTTCGAACTTTCGAGACTATGCCCAATCTCAGTAATTTTTAAAAGCGAGGAGCATCTCAAAGAATAGAGTTTTTGCAAACAGAGTTTCGAACTTACGAGGTTATGTCTGATATCCGACTTGATTTGTGTTAGAGTGAAAAGAATTTTAAACCTCAGAAACTTTGCAATCAAAATTTCGAACTGTTGAGGTTATGTGCTATATCAGCAGTCGCCGGTCTAGTTTAAGTCCCATGAAAAGCATCTTCAAGATTAAACATTTTAAAGGAAAGGTTTCCAATCTTAAATAATCTGTTGTATCATATACGATATATGAAGTATGATGTATTGAGCAAATAGAGCACCGCTGTGTCTTGTCAATGAATCAACGCATTTACACACAAAGGCCAGTAAAGAAGTCTTTTCCGACGTGTATCCATCGTCAAGAGAGGGACGTACGCCAAATATATTCTTTTTTTTACTTTAGGTGTGCCTGCCCATCCATCCACTGGTCCGTCCATTTTTCTATTCAAAAGAGACGAAATGTACTGCCTAGCGGCCCAACATTTTAGGAAAGGAAGAAGAAAACCATATTTATTCTTAAACATCTTGTCCATACTTGTAGCAATTTCCTATCTTTACTATTTTAGAGTAGATCCCTTTAAATCTTAAAATTAAAACGCGGGCTTAATGGAAAAATTTTGTATGAAAAACTTTTTTAATAAAAAATTTATTTATTTGCAGTCTTTTGTTTGGTTTTTTTCTTTTATTTTTCCCGTACTCTGCTAATACTGTTTCTCTGCGAGTGTATATATTAAAAAAAAAAAAAAAAATTAATTAAAAACTTTAACAACACAACCTCTCCTTAATCTCTATTACCCTTTGTATTTTTATATGAATTTTTTTTTTGTTTTTTTTTTTTTTGATCTAACACTTGCTTCTAACTTACTAATCTTATTGTTATTTTCATTTGTTCTTGTTCGTTATCTTTTCAGTGATACTTCAATATCAACACGGGTTGACATGCTGACGCCGGCCATTGAAGTCTATAAGCCACCACTCTGACATAAAGATGACACGGTGGAGAGCAATTTAGGTAATCCATCGACAAGTAGCGATTTTTAGCAAAAGCTAATAACAACAACTGCTGAGCTTAATACAACAACTACGACTACTAGTAATACGGATAATCTATTTGTTCTTCCATCATAGTGTCAATCAATTTTAAAAGGAGAAAAATATATGTAACAATCATGAGAAGACATGAAAGTCAAAAAAAAGGAAAATACAAAAAATCCAAAAATACCAATTAACTCCTTCAAAAAAAAAAAAATAAATAAATAAATAAATAAAAGAGAAAAAAGCCCTCCTCGTCCACTTTAAACTTAACAATGTAATATATTAAGGGAATATGAAGAAGAAAAAGCCGAAAAAGAAGAAGAATATGAGAAATGCAAAACAAAATCCAAACATTTACAGCCATTCACACACACACACACACACACAAACACAAACATGCATTACTAGTTTAGAGATAAGTTCACACATATGCAAGAAGTCCATGTAAGCGAGAATTATATACAAAAATATATTTAAGTATATTAAGGAGTATTACTTACATAGAGAAGCAAAGACCGAAATAAATTCATTTATAATAATAATAAAAAAAAAACAAAAAATTAATATAGAAAATAAAAAATAAAAGAAGAAAAAACGAAAACAGACTCCAAAGTATAAACAAACCCTTTAACGAAGGGCATGTGTAGACAATTGTTATACTGTTGTATTGTGTGATTGTTTAAGGGCATATACTAGCAAAACTGATGTTGATTAAATTCACTCAAAGATAATGCATACATAGATACCTACTATACAGTTAAACATACAAACATATATACATACATTCATACAGACACAATTGATGATGAAATGAAAAACTAGAAATTTATATGTATTTGTGTAAACTAAACTAGACGACTATTAAATTGTGTAACTATAAAAAAGCAAAAAAAAAACGACAACAACAAGCAACTAAACAGGAAATGATATAAAAATATATGTAAAAATAAAACCAAAAAAAAAAAAAAAAATGAAAAAAAAGAAAAGAAAAACAGCAACAACAACAAGTTAAAGCAAAGGCAACTGCCCACAAAGAATTATTATTTAAATAAATAAATTTAATTAAGTTACATATTTAAGCTTGTGTATAGAATCAATCAGTAATTTTATTAAGAAAATAAGATATAATCAGAGAAACTAAAACATATAGATATGTATATATATATTAAGAAAAACGCATTCGTCTCAGGACGAATTTGAAATATCCACCACTTGGCATTAAATTATTTTTCAAATCAACTCCATTACTTGAATAACATAACTAAAAATATATTTTATTTTTTAATACTCACTTTTATTCAGGCCACTTAGTTGCAAACCGATCCAACTGACTTTCAATAATATTCCTATAATCAAGTATTGTTGCTTTCATTTTAATCCAAATTGTTTATCCTCTTGGTTAAGTTTCGTGACTTTTATAAAAAATCGTTATTCGTCCTGTTACTTATAATTCTCAATATGGAAAGACACTGGTCGATCGACTTCCTTTTTCATTTCGCCGAATTGATAGAATTTTTCTTATTTTCTTGGCTTGCCAATGATGACCTGTGAATTTGTTCAACGGTAAATTTCGTCAACGATTTTTTTTGTCTTATCCATAGGAAACGATAATATTTTATATTCGATGGGGGAGACACCTTTGCCTTTTATCGGTCTCACCTAATCTAACCTAACTCGTGTCTTTTCTTAATCATCTATTTTGAAGAGACAATGCAATTTTGTCGATGCCTTTTATCGATCTCATCGGATTAATGAGAGACCT